CAACAACAACAAGATTCCATTTATAGAGCGCCTTTCACGTCGGGAGGACGTCTCAAGGCGCTGTACAGTTGGGTCAGGACCCGAGCAGGGGGGAAATGGTCAGGGTGAGGGGAGGGAAGGGAGAGAGCGAGGAGGGGGTAGAGAGTTGAGAGGGGAGCTGAAGGCTCGGTCAAAGAGAAAGGTCTTGAGACCGGCCTTGAAGGAGGAAAGGGAGGAGGCGGCGAAGGCACTGGGGATAGAGTTCCAGAGCCTCGGGGCTGAGAGGCTGAAGGTCCGGCCACCGATGGTAGGGCGGTTGGGCGGGGGATGTGGAGCAGACCGGAGCCAGAGGAACGGAGGGTATGGGCAGGTAGGTAGGGGGATAGTAGGTCAGAGAGGTAGGAGGGAGCGAGGCCGTGAATGGCCTTGTAGGTGAGGATGAGGATCTTGAATTTGATCCTCTGGGGGATGGGGAGCCAGTGGAGGCGAGCGAGGGTGGGAGTGATGTGTTCCCGAAGCCTGGTGCAGGACAGTAGACGAGCTGCAGAGTTCTGAATGACCTGCAGCTTGTGGAGGGAGGTGGCGGGAAGGCCGGCGAGGAGAGAGTTCCCATAGTCCAGCATTTTATATCGATAACAAACCCTTCACGTTGGGAGGAACCACAGTTAAACTGAACAAGGAAGCAAGTGCAAAGGTGGTGAATAAATTGAAAGATTGTTATTGGTAAGATTGAGAGGATATGCTGCAAGTCCAGAAAGTGCTGAAGACAGCACATGTACAGTCACGGCCAGTTACAGTGCACCAGGCCATTCAGCCCACTGTGTCTGTAAGCGCTCTGGGACCCCACCCCGCGTGAAGGACGCTATATAATTGCATGTTGTTGTTGTCCTGCTGCTGCCTCTTCACAGGAGCTATCAGCTCTGATCCCATAATCCCCCACAAACACCCAGTCACTGCACTTTACAGTGAAGTACGCCTCACTGAGCCAGTCAGGAACCTTGGCTTGTTTAACCTCAACTGTCCTTTCTCCTGCATCTCTACCATGACCCGAGCTGCCTTCACCCATCTCCTCAACAATGCCCGGCTCCTCCACTGCCTCACCCCTCAGGCCATCGAAACACTCATTCACGGGGTCATGACATCTAGACTCGACCACACAAACTCCCTGTTTCTTGACCTTTCCAACTCTTCCCTCCACAAGCTGCAGATTATCCAGAACTCTGCAGGTTGTGTCCTCTCCCTATCAGGCTCTGTGACCTAATCACCTCCACCCCCACCTGGTTCCACTGGCTCCACATACCCCAGAGGATAGAGTTCAATATCCTCGTCCTCGCCTTCGAGGTCCTCCGTGGCCTTGCCCCTCCTTACCTCTGTGACCTGCTGACCCTATATCAACTTGTCCACTCCCTCCACTCAGCATGCTTTGGCCTAATCCAAGACCTCCACCTGGCCTGACCCATCATCACTGGTCCGGCCTTCAGCCTCTCTCCTCCCACCTTTCCAATTCCATCCCAGGTTCCCTTCACCACTCTCCCTCCATTGCCTCCTTCAAGGCATGTCTCCTCTTCGACCATGCCTTTGGCCACCCTCCTATCATCCACCCTCCCTTATCCACCCCCACTCCCCTGCTCGGGTCCAAATCTCTGACTGTCCAGTGCTTTGCAACCTCCGGCTGATGTGAAAGGTGCTATATACACCCAATCTATGCCTGTTTGTGGGACACTGCTGTGCACAAACTATCTGCCGTGTTTTGTCCACAAAATACACAATAAATTCATTTCACAGTGTATCCTGTGAAGCGCTTTGAGATGTCTCGACAATATAAGTTGCTTTACATCAAGGATTATTATTATCTCCAGCTCCAAACACGAGGAGGTCATTGAGGACAAAACTGAAATGATCCACCTCTTCTCTCCACCTTCTCCCTCTGCTCCCACTGCTCCTTTCTGCATACAGCATGCTGATGGTGTCTTGTAGAAGTCATTGAGGTGTGTAACAATACTGTTTATATTTACATTCACGTCAGGAGGACGTCTAGAGTGCTTCACAATGCTGGAATGGGCACCAGACTGGAGTGGGGAGGAAAGCATCTGGACAACAGTGATCACAACATCATTAGGTTTAGAGTACTTATGGAAAGGGACCAGGAACAATCAAAAGTAGAGATACTCAACTGGAAGAGGCTAATAAGAGTGAGTTGAAAAGGGATCTAGCCATCCCGGGTTCTGGAGTGCAGTAAAAATGTTCATTTTCAGATGTGTTGTAACAAAGAGATTCTGATGTTCTTTTCAAATGTTGGGAAAGACCAGGACCCACACTGGCAACACACAGCAACAGCATCCCACACTCCCATCCTTGGTAAGAGTTAAGGAGCAGAAGAGGAGTTGTTACTCTGCTGTGTGTTTACTATAGACCACCAAATAGTGGGAAGGAGATAGAGGAGCAAATATGCAAACAGATTTCAGAAAGATATAAAAGCAAGAACGAAATTACATTTGTATAGTGCCTTTCACATGGGGAGGACGTCCCAACAATACAGTAGTGGTAATGGGAGACTTCAATTACTCAAACATAGACTGGGAAGAAAACCGTGTAAAGGGCATGGATGGGGAAGAGTTCATAAAATGTGGCAGGAGAACGTTCTGGATCAGTATGTTTGCAGCTGAACAAGGAAGGAAGCAGTGCTGGATCTAGACCTGGGGAATGAAGTGGGGCAATTGGAGCAGGTTTCAGTAGGAGTGCACCTGGATAATAGTGATCACAACATCATTAGATTTAGAATATTTATGGAAAGGGACAAGGAGCAATCAAAGGTGAAGATACTCAACTGGAAAAGGCTAATTACAGTGAGTTGAAAAGGGATGTAGCCAAGTGGGACTGTAAAGAAAGATTGATGGGTAAAATGGTAAACGAGCAATGAGAGGCATTCAAGGATGAGATAGTTAGGGTGCAATGCAAACACAGTTCCATGAGGAGAAAAGTAGGGTGTTCAAACCTAGAGCTCCCTGGATGACTAAGGAAATTGGGATTAAGATGAAACTGAAAAAGGAGGTTTATGATAAATATCAGGTTCAAAATACATTAGAGAATAAAGCAGAAGTGCAGTTGGTGTAGTGCATATGGATTTTCAGAAGGCATTTGATAAGGTGCCACATGATAGAATTGTTAGCAAAATTGAAGCCCATGGGATAAAAGGGATAGTGGCAGCTCTGATATGAAACTGGCTGGGAAAGCAGAAGGTAGTGGTGAATAGCTGTTTTTCAGACTGGAGGGAAGTATACAGTGGTGTCCCCCAGGGGTCGGTATTTTTGATATATGTGAATGACTTGGACTTGGGGATAGAGAGCAAAATTTAAATGTTTGCAGATGACACAAAACATGGGAATGTGGTAAACAGTGAGGAGGATGGTAGCAAACTGCAGCAGATCAGAGACACTGGTGAAATGGGCAGACACAAGGCAGATGAAGTTTAATGCTGAGCAATGTGAGGTGATGCATTTTGGGAGGAAGAATGAGGAGAGGCAGCATTGAATAAATGGTACAGTTTTACAGGAGCAGAGAGACCAGGGGGTTCATATACACAGGTCTTTGAAGGCGTCAGGAAGGTTTTCCCACCACCTTTCAGGCAATGCATTCCAGACGATAAGAACATAAGAACTGTTAGACGATAAAAGTCCAAGATCCATCTAGTTTGCCTTCCATCTTCCTGACGGTCGCAACCATAACAACTCTGTGTAAAACAATTTCTCCTTATCTCCCCTCTGGTTCTTTGCCAATTATCTTACAACTGAATGCCCTGGTTAGCAACCCACCTGCCAGTGGAAACCATTTCTCCCTATCTACTCTATCAAAACCTCTCATAATTTTGAACATCTCCATTAAAATTTCCCTACACCTTAACTAGATAGGAATAAGGGGCTGTCAGCAAAGGGCAAATCGTGTTTGACCAAATTAATAGAGGTCTTCAAAATAGCAACCAAAGGGTAAAGCTGTGAATGTGTGTGTGGATTAGTAGAAGCTGTTTGATAAGGTGCCGCATGGGAGACTGTGGTTGACATTCAGGGCTCGTGGGATGGGGGATGGTGGCGGTTTGAATAGGGATGTGGATGTGTTGGGTTTGAAGGTGTAGACAGCAGTGGAATTAATCACTCTGTTGAAGCCTGAGGCAAAAGGTTTGTCGAGAAAAGACCATCTTATTCTGTTTAGAAATGTCAAAATCAGAATCTATGAAGAGAGGAACCAAATCTTGTACTTTATGTTTAAGAATTATTTTAATGACTAAGGCAGAAATACATATAACTTCACATTGATTCAATAAGCAGGTTACAGCAGGCAGGGTATGGTAGTCAATATTGTGCTGTTACTACAGAAACACATTCACTTCTTCTCTCTCAGCCAATTTAACTCTTCATGTTACAAGGCACAGCTCACTGACATATTCTCATAACATCTTATCTGTAGTGACACCAGCTACTCCATAACATCTGTCACACTTAGAGAGATTCTGCAACTCAGTTCGATGAAGTTTGATTGTCGTTCCACAGATCAGCCAGTCACTAGCTAACAAGCATAAGCATATTTACCTTCACTGAAACAATAATTTGAACACTAATTAATTTCTGATCATAACGGTTGAAGGCTATGAAGCAGAGATTGGGGACCAAAGCATGTTTTCCCGCTTGGCGGCAGGTAATTAATCCAATTCTCTCCCTTGTGGAGTCCTGTAGCTGAGTGGTTAGAGCACTCGCTTTGCAAGTGAGACACCTGAGTTCAATTCCAGGCAGGGCGAAACCTTGGGCAAGTTTCCTTACTCCACACGCCTAATAATAATCCCTCCAAAACAACAACAATAATAAATTGGTCATTTTCAATCTACGACTGTTTGTGGGACATTGCTGTGCGCAATTGGCTGCCGCGTTCGCCCACAAATATACAGTCAATTCACTTTACAGTGTGTTCTGTGAAGCGCTTTGGGACGTCCTCCCAACGTGAAAAGCGCTATATCAAATGCAAGGATTATTATTATTATTGTTTATACTTCGTCTAAAGAAAATTTAAATCGTTTTCTACAGGTTTATAAAACTCTCCACATGATTGTATCTCAGCCTCCATCATATCAGCCACTTTTCGTATCTGTTGAGCAATTTCTGACTTGGCTCTGCTGGAATAGCAAAGGATATTCTTTATTGCAAAGTAGACATCATACACAACAATGATTGCTGAGAGAAGCTGCAAAATAGCCCTCACTGGGTTTACCCTGCGGGTGGCCTCCATGTTGATAATGGGGGGAAAACTACCTAAGCTCCTGGAGAAAATCTCAGCTTTACCAGTAGTTGTGTCTCTTACTGATTTCATGAACAATTGGATTATCCTGTTTAGTTTATTGTAGCAATCCGCCATGGCTCTGCTGTCTGTTTTATATTGTTCTATTATTCCATTCACTCTTCTCACTTTCTCTGTTTGTGAAGCAGTGATATTGCCACGAGCTACAGAGATAAGATCACCCGCAAGAGCAACCATTAAAATTCCCGCAAGCACAAACCCGAGTGTGAACCCCAATCTTCTCATCATTACATCACCTAATATTATGACAGTGATTATTCCCGCAATAATCAGTATCACTCCGGCAGGACGCAGTATGGAGCCCACAATGGTCAGAGCTGTGTCTGATCTGTGAGGGTTGTCGATGTGGTCCGCAGCCTCTCGCAGTGCTCCCAGGTGTCCTCTCACCTGTTCCCTCCAGTCAGGGAGCTGTGCTTTAAAGCTCTGCACATCATCAGTCCTCTTTGCCAGCTCAGTGAGGAAGGCTTTCCTGTGAACACAAATGCAAACAACTCTCAGCTACTGCCCACATCACACACAGCACCAGACACAGGGAGCCCAGTGGGGTCAGGGCAGCCTTTCCCACAGAGGAAAGTCGTTACAGATTTCTGAAGAGAAAGATCATGTGTTCTCAAGAGGGCTGAGGGCAGCTCTGTCTCTCTCTCTCTCTTTGTCCCCCTTCAATCAGTGGCCTTTGACACTTTATTTGTCTAGAAGCTCAAAGGAAACGAGGGAAGTTAAAAAGAGTTGATCACATAGTTGTTTTTTTATTCAATCTCAGTCTCTAGACTTTATTAATATGTTATATTATAATATTAATGTTATTTATTGTTATTGATTGTCATAATTCAGTTGATAATTTATAAATAACATTTATAATATTTGTAAATAAACAATCTGATAAACAATCTGTAAATATGTAAATAAATATTTATAAATTAAAGAATTAGAATTTATAAATATAATTAATATTGTAAATTATTATAATATAATTTATATTATTTTATGTAATTTTATATAATTATCTGACATTAAACATCTGCCGCCTCTCAGTCCAGTTCCCCAATCTAACCATCTTCCGTTTCTGTCCACGTGTCCTGTTATCAGTAACCACTCAATCCAGGTTTAAACCCCAATTATAGACTACTATGAAGTAATCATCAGTGACCCTAACACTGAGCCCTGAGCCTCTGCCTTGTGACATCTGATTGTGCTCCGTGAACCACTGCCCTTTATTTCCTCTGATTCAGGCAACATCTTTTCCACTCTACATGGCCCTCTATCCTGCAGAGCGGGAGAGAGAAAGTAAAAAGTAGCCATTCAGACAGAGCCAAACGAGAACGATATCAGGCAGTTTTATCAGCAGTTGTCTTACATCTGTACGTACCTGACCTCAATGTTGCTGACTGTGTCTGTTAAACAAGAAAGAAACAAGAGCCATTATTACTGGTTAGTATCAGATGTTAAATGACCAACTGTGACAATCACCTTTGTGGTTTGTGGTGTGTGTGTGTGAGGGGGTCAGTGGAATCTCTTCAGAGCTGAACTGGCTCCAAGGTGACATGTTTGTCAACAGAATGTCAGTATGGAGCCCTCGCTCTGTTATGGTCTCTAATCCAGGTCCTGAGCAGCCGAGTCCGTAATATTTCAGGGCACTGCTGATGATAGCTCAGCCCAGCCTGTCTCATCGGCAGGACTTGGAGGGGCAGACTGGAGGGAGGAAATTTTGCCAAACAGCTCCTGTAACCCCGAATGCTTTAACGTGTGACGTTGTGCCAGGTGACAAGCTACGGAATAGCTTACCAGAGAGCACTTTCAATGGCCAGCTATGTGGGTTTATCTGGATAGACTCCAGCAATTACCATAACGCACACTCTGGGGTTCATTCGAAGGGCATCTCTCTTCAACTGCAACTAATACTCTCTCCAGAATTAGGTAAACTGGATGCATCCCCTGTCACAGTCACCTTGTTTTTATTAATGCTCTAACTTTGCCTAATGATATTTGCTATAGAGAGTCTGTGTAGAGAGGGTTTGTGATAAAATAATACGCTTCCCATTAAGCAGAATTATGGTCCAGTTAACAAAATATAATTTTAAAGCGGTACTGCCTTGACGACACAAAGTCTGTGAACCTGGGTGAGTGTTGCAACAGAAAGGGAGGAAAGGATCACATGGATCCTGGAGTGGCAACCAAGTGATACATTGGAAGGGGAGGAGATTGGAAATGGCAGGAAAAGGTATCAACAGATACCAACAGGTATCAAAGGGCAGGAGTTAGAAAAACATAAAAGGAGGGCCTCGTTAAACTCGGGGTCACTCTTCGACTTTAGTGTCATCAAGAAGGCACGTACCTGACCTGAGAGCCTTGTCTCCAGATCAGGATTTTTTTTTTGTGTTCACTAATTTTGGGTAAAGCTTCTCATGTCATAGTTATTGTGTCAGGATTTTTCTGTTTCTTACAGTTGTGACTGTTTATCTTATATCGGGCAGTGTAAGTGAGGTAAAGGGCTGTTAGGACCAATAAAGCACCATTGTCTTTTCTAAAAAGTGCATCTCGAGTCTCTGTTAAATTCAATGAGGGAGAGACACAAACATGTTACTGTGGAAGGCACTGTCTGGTAGTGTGAAGGGCACCTCCTGAAGCATCCCATTGCTGCGTTATAAAGCATTCGGATTACCTGTCATTGTGTTAATTCTCACATAGTGAAGTTTCACATACAGTTTCACTTGCATGTCACAGAGAAGAATCTACACAGAGGCCACCTGGGACATTGTGCACTTCACATAACATGGGTTTACATTTGGGGGTAAGAACAGTCACACCCTCCAGGGAAAGAGAGCGCATTCTATTCCAGATACAGAAATATACATGAATGTGGAACACTCAGTCTGGTTTGGAGACTTTTAAGCACCCGATGGGTTTCCACGTGTGTCAGCCACTCAGCTGACCAAACAAATTGTATATGTATTTATTTATACAGAATCATTTTCTATCAAATATGGAGGTGTAGAATTATAGGCTCGGTTGGCAAATGAGCAATGGTACAGCTGGAGTGAGCAGGCGGGAGGCGGAAATAGTGAGGGCCAGAGGTGAGGAGGTGCAATCCCTTCTCTTTGACACACACTGTGCCAGCCTTGCTCTCTCCCCCTCACACACATCACAAGATTATTATTTGTTTTGTTCAGACACAGACAGTTCTGATATCTTCCTGCACCCACCCTGAATATTATATCACTGGAACCTGCCTCAGCTGCTGCACCTGAGTCCTGTGTGCAGTACATTGATGCAGTACCTGACGGGAAAGGCACTATACACATGTAGTTTGTTGTTGTTACTGTACCTTCCAGATGTTTATAAACCTCTTCATACGCCATCACTTCATTCTCCATCACTTCAGCCACATCGTTAATCTGTTTCGCAATATCTGCCCTGGTTCCACGGTTGAGATTATGACCATCGTTTGCTCTGGAGATCAGAGATGATATGAAAGGCAGCCTTGTCTGAGCTGCTGACCCGGCCTTGGATGTCACCGACACCTGTTTGTTCATTGTTTCAGCCACAGCAGCAAATACAGCCAAGTGTTCAGTGTCAGCTCCACCAGGAAATGTGGTTTCTGATTTCTCACCATAACGTTTCAAGATCCGAACTGCTCGTGAGAGTTTTGTGTAACACTCTGCCATTTCTCTGCTGTCCTTTGCATATTGTTCCGTGAAATCATTAACCCTTTCCAGTCTGTATGTTTGGGTAACAATGTCCGTGTCACAAGCTGCAGTGTTGTCAGCCCCACCAGCCACACTCTGGCCAACTCCCACTCTCGTGCCACGTTTGTGAATCAAGTAAATGTCGTCTGCGATCTCTTGTAGGTCTCTGATGTAGCTGATCATCCACACTCTCCACACAGGGAACAAGATGACAAAATCCTTTACATCCTCCTTCCTCTGTTCAACCTCAGCTTTGAAAGATATCCTGTAAATATTAGTAACTCAATTAGACACCCAGCTCAGAGGAAGGACATTTGACCATCATGTCTGTGCTTCTCTGTGAGATTTATCAAATCAATCCCATTAACCCATGCTTTCCCCATCCACGTCTCTGCCTTAATCCTTTGATATGGTGGCACATGGGCTGGTAACTGGCAAATAACATTTAATACAAGTTTAGAGTTGTAATTTCAGGACAGACACCTGGAAGTTTTTCTTTGCACAGAGAATAGTTAACAACTGGAATAGAAAGGAGTTTGAGGGCAGGCACTGGATTAATTTAATCCACGACTGTTTGTAGGAGAATGCTCTGTGCAATTGGCGCGTTTCATGCTCGCAATACAGTTACTACACTTTACAGTATATTCTGTGAAGCGCTTTGAGACATCTCGAAGATATGATAAGGCACTATATCAAGTGCAAGGATTATTATTGTTATTATTAATGTGCAGAGCCGGCCAGCTCACTGTCTGCACTGCCTGGTTCCCGCGCTAAACAAGACTGACATCATCATCTCAGCATCATTCATCAGCTCAGCAGGAAGCGGTGTGATTAGACTGTTAGCCCCGGCCTTGTTATCATTCAGTGCTCAGGCTGTCCAGCACCTCAGGACTCTGCACTGTTTTATTTAAGCACGTGTTCAAAGTCAGGGTGGGGTCAGGGAGGGGAATAGAGAGAGAAATGAGATAAAGAATCAATCAGACAGAGCCATGTGAGAATGATTGATTAATTCACAATATCCGGCAGTGTATTGAGCAGCTGGCTCACCTCTGTACGTACCTGTCCTCGGTGTCACTGACTGTGTCTGTTGAACAAGGGAGAAACAGGAGCCATTATCACTGGTTATTATCTGGTACCAACAGAGTGAACAGACACAATTCTGACTGATACAGTGACCACACAGGAGGGAATGTCCTCACCACTCACGGGTAAACAAAGCGATCTCCCCTCGGCAGCGACAGGAGCAGAGCAGCAATGTGGCGGCTTCACTGCTGACAAGGTTTGGCTTCTTTCCTGACAAACGCAGTGGGTCACACAGGAGCCGTGAGTGGGGAACACTCAATATAACAGAGACTCAGAGACACAGCAATAATAATAATAATAATTTTAATAATCTTTGCATTTGACACAGCACCTTATCATGTTGTTAAAAGTTCTCAAAGCGCTTCACAGAACATACTGTAATGTGAATTGATTAAATAGAGCTGATACAATGGTGAGGATTTAAATAGGGTAAATAGGGAGAAATTATTCCCACGGCCTGGCAGTCAGTGACCAGAGTTCTTGGTTATAAGATAGTCACAAGAAGAATGAAACAAACGTTTTGATGAAATTATTTGACCCAGAGAGTTACTGGGGTGTGGAAAGTCAGCTAACTAAGGTGAAAGAAGCAGAGTCCATTGTGGGTTTCCAGGGAGAATTAGACAGGGATATTATGAGAGAGAGAGGGACTTGAAACTTGGGGATAAGGCAGGACAGTGAGATTGAATGAACTGCTTGCTCTGAGGGCCAGTGTAGGGCCTCCTTCTGTGCTGTAGATTCTGTGATTCAGTGAATCACAAACACACTGACTGTATATAAATGTAAGTAGTTGTTGTTCTCTCTGGGGCGGACGAACTGAAAGGAGAGTTTGAGGGTGTTGATGAAAGTCACAGTCGAAGAGATAGGACTTTAAGTGAGTGTGAAGATGGGAGAGAGGCTCAAGGTAATGGGGTTTCAGACAGTGGGGTTGTGTTTGACGGCTCAGGGCTGATTCAGAGGGATGGCAGGAGGTTGTTATCTTACTCGGTGCAGAGGATTAAAATAAAAAGTTAATATTGTCATCAATTCCAATAGATTAATTACCTGGTTTAGGAATCTCTGCCATTGTGTGAACTCTTCCCTGTCATCGATGATGCTTTTGCTTTGGAAATGAAGAAAAACAATATGAATCCAATCTTTCCCTATCGTCAGTGACAATAACCACAGTCATTCTGATCATTATGTCAATCACATCCTATATTTAAGTTTGAATTTAATGTTTAAAACAATTTATCAGTGAACAATGGGAAGGAATGTACGTCTGAGTTGTAGACAGGAAGATGGTGGCAATGCTCTCACACATTTCATGCTGAGCTGTGTTTCCCACCCGGAAGTTTGCATGGAGTTCCATGCTTAAAAGTATCTAAACCAAACAAAGAAATTCCCAAGATGATTATTGGAATGCAATGTGTACTCTCTCCCTGGAGAGACACATTCCCTTATCCAATTCCAGAAACTATTTTCATTGTAGCTGAGTAGGTTGAGAGGGGATGTGATAGAGATGGACACAATGTTGAGGGTTTGAATAGTCAATAGGAAAGAAAAAGGTCGCAGAGAATTCCTGGTACCTGTCATCCACCAGTGAGTGCTCGAACCCACACTTGTTGAATGTCAAACAACCAACTAGTGACTTTCTTCTGGAGTGGGGGAGCAAAGCAGGGTCTCCCTCGAGCTGAACTGGCTCTAAGGTGACTTGTTTATCATCAGATTGTCAGAATCAAGCCCACCCTTTGTGACAGTTTCTAGGCCACCTCCTGAGCCAGGCAGGTCTGCAATACTCCAGGTCACTGCTGATGTCAGCCCAGCTTGGCTGGCAAATCGGCAGCGCTTGGAAAGGCAGAACAGTCATTGGGGGCAGGGAGTCATCCCACTCAACTCCTGTTAACCCTGAAAGCCAAAGCACTGGTGGATAATGTGGACAAGCAACGGGAAATCTTGCCGCACAGTGCTCTCAATGGCAAGCTATGCGGTTTTAGCTGGTTAAACACCAACAGTTACCCCACTGCACATTCCGGAGCCCCCAAGCCTTGGCTCTTGCCAACCCGTGCCTCATGCTTTGTAGAATTAGGTAAACAAATATATCCTGGAAGGTGGAGAGTGCACATTCCATTCCAGTAATCATCTTGGGAATTTCCATGTTTAGTTTGAATACTCTTAAGCCTGGTGATGGGTTTCCGCAATGTTTTTGGGCAGCTTGGTGTTTTTGATCCATTTATTAGAATGCACTGCACGCTCTCTCCCTCACTGGAGTGATCAATATTCAACATGTCTCCTCACCAGTGACCCATACAAGGTTGCATCAACTTCCTTTGACTTGTCCTCAAATATCCTGAGGTGCCAGCCTAGTCCTGTGGACTCTCAGAGATCGGAGTCCAGGAATTATCTCAGTTTCTCCTCAGCCTCAAATTTATCACCTTCAATTATTTCCCCACTTTTGTCCTGTTCTACCAACCTTACATTTAAATTACAGTCATATTCCTCAGAACCAATGCTTCCGTGTGCAATTATCCTTTCACTAACATCTACTATACTTGAACATTGAACATTGAAGATTAATTACTAACCACCAGTTTAGATAAGTCCAACCAGCAGCAGGTAAATAGCAATGAGGGTTTGCTGGTGAGGTCAGGTCCTGGAAATCAAAATGTTTTGATAATAATCAATGAAAGCTCAGGAGGGGGCTGAGCCACTGGGGACAGAAGTGGTAAATAGGTGGCAGATAAGAAGGAGATGGCGGAACTGTCTGAATGTTTTTGACATAGTTTTCACGGAGGAGAGGGGTAGACACACAATAGAGCTAAAAAGGGAATGAGGAACAACTACTTGGGATAAAAATCAAAAACAGGATATACTAAAAAAAGTTAGGGAATTAAATGTTGAGAGATCACAGGATTCATTACGGCTTGTAGAGCAAAACCAGAGAGGAGATGGTACAGGCTGTTGGTGATTTACAATTGTCTTCAATTTGTCCGATGGCAGAGGATTGGGGGGTGGGAGAGGATTGGAGGGTGGGAGAGGATTGGAGGGTGGGAGAGGATTGGAGGGTGGCAGAGGATTATTGCGTGGCAAAAGATTGGAGCGTGGCAGATATTTAGGAAGGGGGCAGGGATAAGCCAGGTCACAGCAGGCCAGTGATCCTGATGTCAGTTGTGGGTACGAGATAGTAATAAGGGATCAGGTTACTAACTACTTAGAAGGACATGAGTCAATTAGGGAAAATTGGCAGGGATTTGTGAAAGGCAGATTGTGTTTGACCAATTTACTACAATATATTTTCAAAGTAATAACTGCAAATGTAGAGAAAGGCAATGCTACGGATGTTGTATATTTGGGTTTCCATCTGCAGTCTCACAATCCTCTATACCTCCCAGCTTGGTATCACCCGCAAACTTTGAAAGCATCCCCTCTATATCTAAATCAAGGTCATTAATAAATAGGGAACAAAGGAGAAGGTCTAGTACAGCAATTAATTACCTGCTGTCAAACAGGAAACATCCTTTTATCCTCACTCTCTCCTTCTTGTCCTTTAACCACCTTTCTGTCACAAACCACCACATTTCACTCTATACATGCGCTCTGAGTTTCTCCACCAGTCTCTCTTATAAAATGCCCTCAAAACATTGAGTCAATTCACTATAATTAAAACAGCTTTAACCAGACAGCTTTGTACTCCTCTCTATGTCTGTTGCCCTTGCAGCCAGAATGATTTCACTCCCCGCTGTCCTGGCCGACAATCCCTCGGATAAACCCAGTGGTTCAACTCATGGCTGTTTGTGGGACATTGCTGTGTAGCTATCATGTTTGTCTACACATAATCACTACACGTTACAGAAATGCTCTGGGAAGTGCTTTGATATGTTTTTACATCATGAGGTGCTGTATCAAAATAGGAATCATTTTTATAAATCACTGCAATCCAAATCAGAAAACACAATAATCCACCTTGTGAAGGAACTAAACATGTTAATGTGTGGATAACCGCACAATGAAGACACAATAGTGCAATAGACAAGCCTCACATTCACTGGAATATCAGCAATCCCATTTTCACTCGCTCTCTGAGAGAGAGAAACCCTCACTCACTCTCTGTGATAGAGAGATACCCTGACTCATTCTCTGTGATAGAGAGAAAACCTCATGCACTTTCTATGGTAGACAGAAAACCTGACTCAATCTCTGTGATAGAGAGACACAGGGCTTAAACATGTTAACGCTTTAAGGTGTGGATAATCACACAATGAAGACACAACAGTGCAAATGTCCAGCTTTGAGCACCCATACAAGACAGACATGAAGACCAGGACAGTGGCTGAGACAGCAAAGTAAACCAGAGTCACAAACCAATGTCTGCAACTGAACCCAAAGGTGTGTGACAGGTTGGAAACAGTTAGGCTGAGTTCATAGAGACAGGTTCAGACAAAAGCTCTCCAGACAATCTCATCTTTTCCCAGATTCCCTGCCACACGTCCAGTCTGAAACTTTCTCACCTCAAATCTTCTTCCTTCGGTCATTGTAACTTTGTCATTCCTTTGCAGGTATGAAGCAGCAACATTAAATGTTTTGTTTAAGCACCAAGTATTATATATGGATTGATGGTCACTGGCTGGGGCACTCAATGACTGACTGGCAGATTCTTCGATGGGACGATTCTAAGTGAAGTTACAAAAATTTCAAGAAGTCAGTGTTCAGCAATAATAAAACTCACCACTCCTTTATTGTCACTCTAACCAACAAGGGTTGGCTGCAGCAATGAACACGTGACTCCATAAAGGTTTATAACTGAAGCAAAGCTGGTAATGAAATATGGAAGGCGTCACTTAGGTCACCAGCTCAAAGGTGAGAATTGAAATGGAAGGCGCTGACAAGTGACTTGTAGATCCAGGAAATGCTGAGAGTGAAAGATAATATGGACAGAAACAACCAGTAATGGATGGAGTGCTAATCTCTCTAACCTCTCCTCATAGCTAGATCTCGTATCTCTGGTACCAGCCTGGTCTTCATGATTCTCTCTGAGCCACACACTCCGTCAGTGTACCAATTGTGGTATCTATCCACAAGAACTGTGATCCTAGTGAGACCGAGAACTGCATCGGGATCTCACTGGTTTAAGTGGCTCTTAAAGTGGTGCTTTGGAGAATCACTGCACA